GCACAACCCAAACAAGGTCGTGCAGAAGAATTGCGTAAAGGAAAAAAAAAGGCAACAACACATAAAAGTAGCGAATTTGAAGTTTGGCCGTGGTCTGAGATTTTTATTCCTCTCTAATCAGCGTGACTGAAAATGGAACAGCAGCGTCTTGAGTCTCTGGTGGTCTAAAAAGGAAAGCTTGGCCGTCCTTGTGCTACCCTGGGTCCAGTGACATCAAACGCTTAGCCAGACGTCAAACAATAAAAGCAACGCAGTGATGCATCATTTTCCAGACCTCAAATTCTGTCTGAAGTCAGCCAAGTGAAAGGCACGCAAGGAAACAAGCAGCAATTTGAAGACAGCCAGAAAGAGACACTCATGTGGACAAGAAGAACACAAACACTAGCAGAATACCATAAATAAATAAATTAATTAAAATCTAAAGTTTTAAAAATAGGTGCCAGAAAGGCTGGGAGCCATTTACAGATTAGCTTCTGCTGCTTTGTCTCTTCTCAGAAGAACATTTTTAGAATATTTTCTCCTCGACCGTCTCTGATTTGAATACAAATTTTAATGTCCAAAGCTTGAATTTATATAATGATCGCGGTGCAAAATATCTTTCAAAGCCATTTCTTTTTTGAAAAACGGTCCATTGAGCCCATTCAAGCCATATTTTTGCACAGTGACATACATCAAAGGCAAAGTTTGAACATTAACATCTCAAAAACGATTAAAGATGAAACCCTGACATTTTCACTGGACTCTCTTGAAATATTCAGTCAATAAATTAAAAAAAAATGCAATTTTCATTCATCTTTGATGGTAAAATCTGACCAAGAAAACATTAATTATGATTTATTTTGATTTCAAAATATGCACATATTTAACTAAATTATTATCTGATAATTACATTTAGTTCTATTTTGTTCTATTTGGACATTCTATTTTTTTTCCTGGTACAACTTGTCATATTTCTTTAAAATGTTTGAGCTATTCATCTTGAAACGTTGCCTCTGATTTCAATGTGTGGAAAAAAAATACTGCAAGTGTCTCGAGGGGCAAAAAGCTAAGATTTCACAGCAATCATTACATAAGTCCAAACTTTGGACCATAAAATATTAACGAAAATTGGAGACGGTCGAACAGAGGGCCCATGTTGGGATGGAATGACCCAGTAATCAATAGAGCCTGTATTGCAATTTCACCCTTTAACAGAAAAACACCGTCTTTCTCTCTTATCGTCCACTCTGAGGGGAAAAAAAAGAGACTTACAGTCAGCATGAGTTTCACTGTTATGGCAGAGAAAGTGAAAGGCATGACTCCCAATAAGGATATTAGAAAGCGTGGTTTGGCAGACGTATACTTAAATGTTAGATAGAGGAGGAAAACACACCTGTAGTGCATCATCGCCCCTCTCACTGGTCCACCTGCTTGATACTGTGCTAATTATGTTATGTCCTCAGCCTGTTGCTTGTCTCTTACTTGTCTTTTCCTTATACCAACTCTATTTTCCCGTACCTTATCACCTGCCTGGCCACCTCTGCTCCCTCCCCTCTTCCCACCTGAGGCTCCGTTCTCCACGTGCCACTTTTATAAAGCCACACAAACAGCCATCAGGCCACTGCAGGGCAGCTTACAAGCTCACCTGGTGATATTCGCCCTTTACTAATATTTACTATAACACTGCTCTTAATCCTTCCCAAC